TCCAACGCCCCTCTCGCGCCAATTCTGGACGAACTCGTGCCACACGAGCTTTGTGAGCACATCGACGTAGAATTTTCCATCAACTGTCTGGCCTGGAGGGACGAATTCTTGATGGACAATCCCCCGAACATCGAAAAAAACAATCAACATTGTCTCGGCCCTCTCTGAATCTTTTTAGCCACTTGTGGACGGTTGGTTCCTTCACAGCATCATCCCCATAAACTGTTCTGAGATCGGCAAAAATTTCACGGCCATTCTTGCCGATATGATTACGACGCGCTGCTCTTCAACGGAAGCGGGCTCCATGCCGACGGGGTTTCGTTAAGAGATAACTTCACAGATGGCGTGACAAGCCATCGCACCGCACGGCGGTCAGACCAGAACTGAAGCATTGTTAGGGACAGAAGGAAGGGGTCATGCGCTTACCTGGCCTCCCCACTCCTCCTTCTCGCATTCCAGAACACTTTTATCCGAACTTTCCGGACAGTCCTCGTATAAAGACTCCCTTTGTTCTTGTTTGACTGACCATATTGTACCGACCCCAAATAATATGCCGTAAGGAGAGAAAGGTGACGATAATGTGATCGACTATTGATCAATTTTTCAGTATGAGCAAACATTTATACAGGCTCGCCTTTGCAGCGGTAGAAAATTATTTTTATTTTTTCCAATAAACCAGTGTAGGAAGTTTTTAATTAACTAGAACTTTTATTTCCTGCGAAACACCCGTATATACCCTATCCAAAAAGTGGCATGTTGACATTTATTATTTTCAAAAGTGAATGTAGTTCCGAAAGTTGGGCAATATTTTAATGGTTTCCCTTTAGCATTCAACAGTTTCATAATTACTGTATTCTTCATTCATGATTTTTTACTTTAAATAAAAAATTGTAAATAAAAAATATTTGGAATTTGAAGCACCTAAATAATAACATTTAATATCCAGTTTATATAATAATTAGTAATACAGTAACATGTAATAACAAAATCAATCTGTCCATTTATTATAGAGTATATACTCGTAATATTTATATAGTTTGAAAATAGAATACGTCAATGCTCGCAGTGATTTCCAAATAAAATCATTTATAAATAGTTTTTTATTTTTAATTTATAAGGGCTTTTACCCTCTTCAGTCCTATCTCAACTGGCCTGTATTTTAGTTTTCTTTTTATGTTTATGTTATATGACAGTTTTATGGATATCCTGGATAAACAGGATTTGTTACTAGCGAATCCTGTTTGTGGAATGAGTTTGTGAAATTCTTTTGAAATTGCGCTGTAAGAAATTAAACGGTTTCTTCATTTTGTTCATAAATTATTATGTTCGCATATAATTTTGCAATATCAGTATTTTATTAGTAGTACTCATTAAAACAAGTTATCTATTAAACCTATTGGTGTTATGCATAATGATAAGTATGTAACTGATGTTCAAACAGACAATGTTTGCATAGCCGGTAGAAAGTATGACATTGGTACAAACACACTAACTCATTGGTGCTTGTCTTGATTCAATTTCACACACATACTCATAAATATATGCTAATAGTTCAAACATACTTTTTAGTTGCTCTATCTGTCTATACCTATAAGATGGTGGAGGGAAAACGGAAAATAAGGACAGCGAATGAGGTTAAGGGAAAGGTCATGATAAATTATGCAATCAATCTTTATTGATATTATAAATATGAATTCTCTTAGTTACCACTTGGTGCCTTGACTACTCAATGGCAGAAACAATTATGTAATATGGAGGTATTTGAAATAAAGAAACACATAAGATAATATTGAAGCGGTAGTTCAATTGGTAAAATGCTGGCCCCAGCATGAGGTCGAAAGTGCGCGTTCAAGTCCTGTCCGTTTCCAAATTTTTCAATCTCTTAGTAATTTTTGAAATTTAATTTTCATATTTTAATAATATTTCCATACTAGCTATCCATTCTGGCTTCGAATGGGTACTAGAGTATACACGCTAACATTTTTGCATAAGCTTGTTGCGTTAAGTATGAATTAGATGGCAATAGTAAGCTGTCCTTAAAATATAGACATATGTCATCGCGGACTTTTTTGTAAACCTATAAAAGAAAAAAATCTGACCTTACATTGTTTTGTTATATTTTAAACGGATTAGGCAGCATTTTCGATAAAAGCTCTCAATCGACTTGATTTCTTCCTACATCTTCCACAATCATCGTAATATACTTCATCAAATTAACATAAAACAATATTAAACTATACGTAAAAAACTTTTCTTTTGAATCACTCTATCTATTAATGAAAAACGCATTAAAATCCGTTGCGTAGTTTAAAAAATCTATGTGTACAGATGGTGGGAAGCGACTTTGTTTTATATTATGTAGAGATAGGCATACATTTTTTTAAATATAAATAAGCTACTTTATATTCCGGTTAATAATATGTATAAATAATTTACTCCGATCACACGGACGAAGCCGCGGGTAAAAACTAGTACTTAAATTAAATACGAGATTTGTTGTGAAATGTCATCGGATCTTCGAGTTGTGTGATCGTGTGGTCATCGCGTGGGAATCTTCACTTGTTTGCTATTCTGTTGCCATCGTCCGTTGTAAATTGAGATTTGATTACGATGGCTGTAATGTTTGATTGTTCATTTAATGTTTGATAATAATACTTTGTCTATAAAAGATACAGACTGCAAGTATATTTGACTCAGGGTTTCATAATAGGGTTCATGACATTTTCAGATTTGAATGCCTCTAGAGTAGATTTACCTTTGTGTGCTTGCTTTGGGCTGTCTGTATTAATTATACCTATTATTAATCATATGGTTCTGTTCTATATCATATCTATTTTATATGTGGGCAAGGTTCTTGTATTATATAGCCAGTTATTGCTATGTAATGGTAATTTGACATAATCATTAGATACGCTTGCTCTACCTCATCTACTTTCTAACAAAATATCTACTATTAGATTTTAATTCTTTAAATGTACCAGTATTAATAAAAAACATTCTGAGAATAATTAAAAAAATGTCTAATATTAATCGATGAGTGTGTATGGAATGACATTGAAATGAGGCCTATTTTGGAGAAGATCAAGGTGACATTCAGATTTGTGTCATAAAAATAACTTCTAATGAGATCGTTCGTATTTGGAAGTACGCTTTTAAATGATTACTATTTGTTTCTCCAGTGTTAAATAATTTCAGACATAATGTACATTGTTTTTTAAATAAATAACTAATAAAAAACGACATACTCATATCATTTAAGCAAAAAAAAAATTCTAATTGAAAGTAATAGTACCAAAATCAAGATATCATTGAGTTTATATCATAATATGTATATCAAGTAAAACGTGATTATTATCTCTAGTTTATAGTTTTAGAGAATGATTTATGAAATGGGTACAGGAAATGCCTTCCCTGACTCACGAAGTAACTTTCATTTCATTAGACATTAGGTAGGTATTAGGTACAGTGTTGCATTACACAGCATGAAGTAAGCATTTCAAAGAATTTTTATGTTTTTTAACATAAGTAAGTATATTTTAACAAGCAAACAAGGATATTTTGTAAGCAAGCCGAAAGTTCCTTTATTATATCACAAAATTGTAGACAAAATAATAAACCTGTTTGTCTCATCTAGGATTACAGATCTCTTTATTTTAGTACTTAATAACTATAAAGTTATTTTTTTAATTTACCCGTTTTTGGACATTCAGTTTTTATTACGTCGAATTTAAATTGTATTTGTGGGTAGGTCATTAGACTATACTGTCATAAGTTAGGACACATAATGAGTACATATTAAAAACGAGTGCAGATACTATGGAGTTTTTTTTTAATGGATAATAATGGAATGGTAACCCCGTTTGCGCTAACGGTATACGCTAGTGGGACACCAATGATGGATGATAGGTCAGAATGAAAAGGCAGGTCAATTAGCCTATCGTGATGAATACACCTGGAATTCAGCATGATAGTTTCCAGGAGAAGCACATGGAGGTCTAAATGATAGGGCATATTGCTAGCAGTGGGATTGGTTGTATTAGTAAGAATCCCTTTCCAGCCTTCCTTATACCATGACCGGTTTGGTTAAATCCACCCATAATTAATTCTTTATCTTTGAACCTACTCTATTATGTACTGTTTACTAACTGGTTACTACGATTATCTACGCTTGAATGTTATCATGCCAATTAGTAAATGTGATGATGGATTTTTTCAAATCAATGAGGAAACGAATTATCACTGCGGTTTATAGTATTCGCGTTACCCTCTTGCGTCGTGGCAAGTTGCGTAAGTATTACGTGCTTAGACTTGTAAAACGTAATCAACGCATTTATGCGTTTAGCGATTGGCAATTTTACGTGCGACTCGTTTCATGATATCTATAACTGAGACAAGTCGACATGCGAGTGGTACGCATGCGTGTACCAAGAAAAATGCATGCCACACAAAATTGGATCACGTAGATTGATAAATATTTCAATCGTTTTGTAGGTATTTACAGTCCTATAAAACGTATATCATATAACCAGTGGGAATATTTTGTAGTTATTGACGATCATAGCTGTTTTTTTAGAATTTTTCCGCTACGTATTTCTGTGATATTTTATGAGACGTAGTAACGTGAGATTTATCCATGATATTTTATTATAAAATCCAAGATAATGAACATACATATTAGTATATGGATTTATATGAAGAAAAATCTGAACTCTGACAGATAGTCTGAGAGTTATATCGACATTTTATATTATAAAAAGGAAAAATAATATTATTTTTTGTAATGAATAAATCAAAAAATATTTAACTGATTTTTTTTATCTATCTATAGGGAGTTGCATTATCAGCGACTAATGTGGGATATATATTTGACGTAAAAAAGGGAAGCCTGCAAAAATTGCAAAGCCGGGGCGGATCGCTCGTTTATAATATCAGTATTGAATTAACAAAACTAATTTTATTAGTTGTTCGAAGTATTCATGTTTATTTATAATATTTTCCAGGTGGAGTCAGGTCGCGAGGAACTGAAGAAAGAGCGAGAGATCATGCAGCTGGTAGCCGGTTTACAGCTAGGTCCCGACGAGGTGGAGCGGCGGGAAGTACCACCGCACTTGCTCAGGGCGAGGCATGCACCCAGGTAATTATTGTATTTTTATACTTCTTGGAATGGCAAATAAGCTGATGGCAAATACGTTATGGAAAGTGGTGATTCGTGATAGACGAAAATTTCACTATGGACACAATCACCATGAGCGTCACAGAATATACGGTGATTTCTATTTTACTTATGCATTGTTATTCCTGAGAATTTTACTGCCAAATCTCACCTTTTCAAACAGAGATTTTTTGCGTGTTCTTCTCAGCAGATAACATTCCGAACTCAGCAGTAGAATTATAAAAATGACGATCTAAAAGAGATCGTAAACGAGTCTTTTTGAATAAAGATGATTTATATATTATTCAGAAATAAAGTAGAATAGAGGAACCCTCTAGAGTCTAGATGACTTATGCACAATGTCCCTGGTGTAATTTTGTAATAACTATATTGTTATTTTGTTTTCTAAATAAATTAAAATAGGTACTTCATTATCACCATTATATATATAAATTATTCTTTAACCATTAAAATAATAAATATTTATTACAATATAGTGAGGGTCAATGACCTATAAGGCCCTTTCCGGGACATCCTTGCCATTAGTTAATTTTAAAGTAACGCGTTTTTTTACGCGTAATTTAAAATTTATTTTCGGAACATGACGCAGTACGGTTACAGGTAAATAGTATCTGTATGTCTTTATTATTATCGTCAATGTAAGTGCAATGTGTAAGGTGCATAAAGATTACAATGAGGGTAGACGAAGGAAGTTGTAGTTTTTGTTGTAAGATTGTGTATAGCACTCGATTAATCTATAATGATATGACAGTTATATCTTTTCTTCCATACATTGATAAACACGTCTAGCCAAAAATGAATTACTTTCTGAAAATTATAGCCGATGTTACTTGGGATACCTCTAAGGATACCCCATACGTCCAACTCAGTTTTGGCAATCATGGTGGAATAAGGAAACCCATATACATACATACATGAATTTTGAATTATTACACTTTTCAATGTGCAGTTGTATAAAAATCTAATAAGCCATTTAGTCTACAAATTGTACCAAAGATACCTACACAAGTACATACTTACATGTATCTGGAAAAAATTACTTAACGATATTTTCTTTTCTTCAGTAATTTGTTAAAAATCCTATGAAATTAGTAAACGGCGTCCATGTAAAATTGTGTTTATAATGTCTATTAAAAATTTATATATTTATAATGTTTTTTTTTAATTTACAGATAACACTACGCCATGGCAGCCGCGGTGCCATCTCTCGGATGAATATAACCACGCTGTGCGCTTGCGCCACTGAAAAGCTCAAATACCCCAATCTGAATAGAAATTACGAATATAATACCAACCAAATATTTTTGTGCTGCTGTTCCAAACTTTACGTCTGGACAATAAGGTTCAAATGCATTGTTATAGATGCATAAATGATCATACATTCGATCGTAAAATCGAATTGTCTTTATCTTAGTAACGATTAGTCACGAACATATTACGGTCTATATATAGTTCTAGGTTTATTCGTTTCAGTGTCCGAATTCTAGTGCGTGTTACAATTGCAAATCGATTTAAACGTGATCGAACTTTGTGCTAATGTAACAAGGTTCGATTTGATAAAATCTTAAAGGAATCCTAATCGCTACGCCTACTAGAATTCGGGCCTAGATATTATATTTTCAAGAGGTGTACATAAGTTTAATTTACGTTTTTCACGCTTATTTCTACATCATTAAGCTAGTTTCTACAACAATCATTAGAAAAAAGATATTTGATATTTATTAGATGCCTTGGTAGAAATTTTGTATTCTTTTATTTTTTGCGCTAAGTTACCCATTTACATCGCCAATTCTGAACCCATTTTGATATTTTTTTTGCAATAGAGAGCAAGTGTTTACTTTTGTATTGATCCCATATTAATTTTGTGACGGTTAAAGTTGCCATTTTTCATTGCTAAGCAACACTTATTTGTAGTCACACATTTTTTTTTCTAATTTTAAATGTCTTCAGAATTACCAAATATGTCAAAAAACAGTGATTTCAATTATGACAAAATACAGTCGAAATATCTGTGTTTTACTACGATTGCAGTAACTGTTTTTTTTTTGTGGAGCAAAAAGCACTCATGTGTGATAATTTCGACAAAGATTACGTGTGTACATCAATTATTATGTTTCGCTGAGATTTATTCGTTGCGAAAGACTCGCTTAAAGTATCTACAATAATTGAGTGATTCTTTAGAAGATAAAAAGTATGCATTTCAGTAATTTGGATTAATATATTTAGTGCCTAATTTGTGATTAAACACTTATATAAATTATTAATGAAAAATAAGCGTATAAAGGTGGAAGATAAATGAGATCATGAATTTAACCGAATTGTCTATATATAATTATAATATTATTAGTGTGATTCAAAGAATCTATGTTCCTGTATATATAATCTGTTTCAACGGAAATTAAAGAAAAAAAATGCCCTCTAAATGAAATTAGTAATATAAAGTAATACTCAATCAATTAGTTGATTCTTTTTATTTATACTACAATTGGACATCAGCATCTTATAATTGGGTTAATTATTCGTTTGTTTATATTAAGTTCTATTAAAAGAGACCACAGGTATTGCGTGTTTTCATTCGAGGTAAAACAATAAGTAAATTGTATTTTTTAAGTTTAAAATATTGTTCTCTAAAGTGTTATTCTACCCATTCATGACCTCTTTGAATTTAATTTCTTAAATCTATACCTACAAATTTATATTTATAAGTACAGAAGCGAAGGGTATTGTAAAATAGATAGATTGAAGTAGAGGTAACGATGAAATCACATTAATTAGAAAATTAGCTGTCCGCCCTTCTTTCGTACGCGTGTCTAAGGAAGAAAATGAGACCAAATCTTTTACAGTTACTTTCTTCTGTCCCACTCATACATTTTTTTATGACTTTTTCACGATCTTTTAAAACATTTTTTTTATTATTTCGTATGATTTTTTTTTATTTACATTCACACAAACCTTGTCTTGACAATTACAAACACAACAAAAAAGGACTAGGTTAATAAGTAAAGTCATTCTAAAGTGCTGCAAATGATTTATATTTATATAGATTAAAACCTCTTATTCATAAAACGTCAAACTTTTTATAAACTTATTTGATCTGTTTTGATTGTCTTTTTCTTTAGCACAAATTTCTTAATTTGAAAGACCTTAATAGCATAAATAGGTTTGTAGGACGTTTTAGTTTTTATAAATAATGAGGTTTAATTTTCATAGAAACCTATCGTAATATTAATTAGTGGTCGCGCTCACTACTATGAATACGACCACTAGGATTTCACTAGGTATTCCTACTCAAAACGAAATATTAGTTCAAAACGAAAGCAAATATTTGTAAGTTTTTCTATTTTTCTGAGAATTTCAGCATTAATAAAGATATAAGCGTAAGTCTATAGTACTGCAATCCTTATATTCTGTATGTAACGCACACACACATACATATAATATGGGATCGATAAGGAAGAGCTATTCTCTATCTCTAAAACTGAAATTTTACTTTGATATTACAACGAACTTATTACTGTGAAGTCTAGTACAAAATAAATTTTCGTTAATCCGTAATATAACAATTTGATTAAACTATTAAATTAAAATTTCAGTTTCAGAGACTAGTTCATAATTATTACTTATTGAAATTACAGAATAACTTTTTTGTTTCGGCTATGGGAATATTTTGTTGTGTTAAGTAGTCATCTAACAACTTCATCCACTTCAAAAAATCCTTTTTTCACTAAATGTCTCCATTTTTTATATTGATAGATTAATACTTTCATTCCTAGTTCGTATAACATATCTACTCGTCCTAGTATTTTTGTATTTGCTTGCTTGTTGATATTTTAACAAGCAACGTAGATAGATAATAAATTTTGTTGTTTAATTGCATTCGTTATGTCGTAACACGTTTTCAACGTTTATTTTATTACTCGTAAGTTGATACAGTAGAATCTCGATTATCCGATTCAAATAAAACCAGGCGTATTCCGTATAATCGAAAAGTCGGATATTCGATTTCAAAGTCAAATCAAACAATAAATTTAAAAAATTTTTATGTAGAAAGTTTTATATACATTATTAGACAATACGATATAATTACGACCTATAAAGATAATGGATTACATAATAACTATTTACTCAATTGATACATAATACCATTTCTAAATTGGTATAAGGTATAAGGTAAAAAATTAGAGCCGTAAAAAAATTCTAGATAATCGAATATTCGAATAATCGATGTTCAAATAATCAAGACTCTTACTGTATTTCAATGAGGACTGTATTTACGATTATTTAACTTTTTAGAACTAATATTATCATGTAAATAGTCTTAATAAAGAGTAATAACTACAGAAGAAGTGTATTTTATCATGAAAATAATGTAGGCTGTACGTGCCATTAATGTTATCTTGTTTTTACTATTATTTAATTATTGAGAGTAATCGCAGTTATGCAAATGTATTATATTAATGTATTACCGTATGTATATAGAGATATAAATTGCGAGGTTTCAACGAGTAGACAACGATGTATCCAATTTTTATATTACTTCAATAAATGTAGTTTTTAATTAATTAACAATGCTTTTTCATTTCTTTCATTTCATATTCCAATTAATCTAATGGTATAACTATAATCATAATTTATTTAGTGATTATTTTATTAGCAAATTTTAATTTATATGTCTTTCAACTTGCAATTCCCAAATCAAATTGTATCAAGATCTTTTAAGTCCAACATTTGTTATTTAAAAGTTCAGTATTTAAATATGAAAACAAAATATTTGCCAGTTCAGTTGCGTAAATATATCAAGAATAGCAATGTAGGTCTCTCAATGTTTATCACAGTGAATCGTTAGTTAAACATTTCAAGTTATACTTATAAATAATTCTGATAAAGCCTCATTAAAGTATTCATTCCTACATTTATTTATATTTTATTATACACACTAATATACATAAAAAGTATGACAAAGGTAAGCAAATATAAAACGGCGTTGGAATACTTTCTTCGTCATTGGAATTATCTAATATTGACTATGTTTCATACATAAGTACTCTCCATGACAGATGTGATACCGAATGTGTCAATCCATAAAGATCCTAAATTTACCATTCATAAAATCAAGAAGTGTTGTAATTTGAACTAGATGTTTCTGGTATATCTATAAGCTGATACATAAATCACCATTCCTTTTTAAAAGTGTTTGGTGTTGTGGGTGGTCATAGGCGGTGGTAGTCACTTACCATCAGGTAAGCTGCATGCTCGTTTGCCCCCTGTGTTGTAAAAAAAAATCACTGCAAAAAATTACACACACAGATTAGACTTAGATATAAAAAAAAGAATAGCATAATGTTATGCACTTGGCTGAAGCTTGTGCATACCTTCAAGACCGGTTTTATAAGATAAACTAAATGTAAAATAATAATAGTAATTATGACGAGGGAAATTGGGAATTTTGTATATAATAAAAATTATCGAAACAAACGTTTTGAGAATATAAAATAAAAATTTGAAAATAAAAATTATCATATTGTATTAGCTATTAACTGTTCACTGCTGAACATAGGCCTCCCTCATAAGGAGGGGTTTGCTAGTACTTGTCACATTTGGTAAGAGGGTTGGCAATCGCGGTTAGACTTTGATGACGTTTTAAGATGGTTACTGCTGCTTTTTTGCTGCATTCCTTGACCATCAAATTCCCTTAGTCGCCTCTTATGATACCCACAGAAAAGGAAGGAGTATGAGGGGTAATAATAATAAAGAAAATATATTTGTAAGTTCCAATTATACACATATAAAACCTTACATAGAAAAACAAAGAAATCATAGTTTCCACAACAAAATAAAAAAAAAAGTTTATATACATATATGAGTGTAAGTTGTATTGGATATTGTATAGAGAACTCAAAAATAGCCTGAAACAGAGTCCTGAGAAATGGAAGAACTTTTGTGTTGCAAATGTCAATCAGAATTTCATATTCTGATTTATTATTATATAACATTATATCTATCTACTATGCACACTTTACCACTGATGTGGCAAATAAGCATACCATAGGCCCATCTGATGGTATGCAGTTACTGTAGCCATATATATTGTGTATTATATTTTTTATTAAGCTATTTTTATTAAATTAGTAACATTGTAAAATTATATAAAAAATATTTTATTACAAAAATATAATTAAGTTAATTCCATGTACAGTTTGGTTTGAAAAATTTAAAAATGGTACAGCGCCATCTTTTGGTATTAGTAGCGTTTAATCAATACAAATGTTCGCGTTAAAAAGCAGTAGATAAGTTGCGAGCTAAAGTTGTATAAAATTCAACTAATATCTTTACAGATGTCTTTAGTTATATTGAAATAACTTATAATCCAAACATAATACAGTAAATTTTATTCATTTGAGCTACCAACGATAATGAACTATAGGTACAACAACATTTAATTCACTAGTAGAGAAGAAATAATTTTGGTTAAGTTTATTTACCGAACCATGTAAAACGTCATTTTCTTTATTTTTCTTACTAAGAAAATGAATTAAAATATATTACAGTTATACTAGTTTTTTTTAATTATTTAACTACAGTTATACTAGTTATGTTTATGACTTAATCCGTGTCGCAATCGACAAATGTCGAAATTAACTTATGTTTTGATTATTATACATATAATTTGAAATTAAAATTAATGCCGTTTAGAGAATATTTATAAATTAGAATTTTGGACCCGCCTTTGCTAATGGTAAATATACAATGGTAAAGAATGAAATATTATGGCGAAAACGAGTGGAAAGCCCAATGTGATTAATTCGTTCGACCAGGAGACCCGCAAGAAGATCCAACTGATAGGGTGTAATTTTTTTTTGTACAAAAGACCACCTATTTGCTATGATGGGATAACAAATAGTAATTAATATTAAAAAATTTTTTTTTCTTATACGGTTTTATTCTCCAATCTATCAATCTACTTTATCTTTTTTATATCTATAAATATATATAATTCAATCTAATTTATACATTATATCAGCAGTTAACTATCCACTGCTGAACATAGGCTTCCTCCATGAGGTTTTGCCAGTAGTTAGGCTTTGGTGAACTTTAAAGAAGAACACTGCTCCCCATATCTCGACCATTAAATTACTTTAGTCGCTTTTTACTATATCCCACAGGAAAGAAAGAGATGACCCATTCTATATCGGGACCACACGGCAACCTACTCTATGCATACTACTTAATCTGTAAAAAGTATAGATTTTTTTTTATGGGTGAAAATGGTAACCCCGCCTGCGCTAACGGGATACGCTGGCGGGGCACCAGTGAAGGGTGATCGATGAGAATGAAAAAAGGCCAGTTAGCCCATCATGATGAATTCATCAGGAATTAACCATGATAGTTTTCAGGGGGAACCGCGAGGAGGTCGACCTGGTTGGTTATATTGCTAGCAATGGGATTCTTAGAGAAAGTTTAGATTAGGTACCGTAGAAGTTATCAATAATAACACTCATGTAATGTAAATAGTTAATTTTAAATTATTAATATATTATTATTATTGTCTTACAAAACAATAATAAAATATTACGCATAAACTAATAATCAAGGAATGTTTAATACATGAATTATAAAACCTATATATAAAGCAATGCTCATAATCAATTAAAATAATATGTATTTAAAAATCTAGTAAATAATTAGAAAAAAGAAATATATCACCTATTGCTTTAAGAATAAAGTATAAATTAATATGTATATTGTACGATTTTACCTGTATCATTATTAATAATAAAATATTCCTGTTCCAAGTTAGAATATAACCTATCCGTGTAACAGATTTCATTCAAATCCTTTCAGTTGTTTTTGTGTGAAAGAATAATAAACATCTATCTATACAAATATCCTCGTAAACCTTTCGCGTTTATAATAGGAACTACTGTGAAAATATAATATATATTTTCACACATATATATATAGGTAAAAGAATATGAATTAAAAATACACTTAGATTGCATATACTGCCCTATACATTATAATTTACGTTCCAGAGGTAATAAATCTTTATAGAAATTCATCCCTGCATCTTATTTCAAGTGAACTCTATAGTTTATGGGAAAGAAATTCTTTATGCAATAACTGTCAGAAAACTATTAATATTAGTAATTTAATATTAAAAAATGAGCATGTGTAGTGCTACATTTCCCGCAATTATGACAGTCGACAAATGCCTCTGATTTCCCTATTAGGGATTAATGGTGAGAGCATATTAATTTATTCATAACTAGCTTTTACATGCGACTTTGTCCGTGTGATTGTGAAATCACAATGTGAACATATGTTCACTGACTGGATTGTAATGTGTGATTAGTATATAAAGTACCCTGTGTCCTTCTCTATTTTATGAAAAAGTTATAAGTTAAAGTGCCAAGAGGTAACAAATAAACAAATAAAGTTTTTTTCTCATTTTTTTTTATAACATTAGTACAGATACTAGTATAATATTATATTATCTGTGGTAAAGATAAAAAGGAAATATTAAATTCAGTTTTAATAAAATTATTACGAAAATACTGAAGTTAATTCTTTTGATTAATCATGAAACTTGGTTACGGTTCCAGTTGGCAAAAACATTGAATACCTATAATATAAATATATAATATAATATATATAATAAAATATATATATAATATAAAGTGAATTCGATAAGTGCTTATTGAATGAACACTACGCACTTAAGCAAGACCTAAAAAATAAATATTAACTGCCATGCAAGAAAGTATGTTGACAGTTACATTGAATACGTACGGTAGTTATGATGTAATTTGGTAATACACCTGAGTTTTTGGCTTAAATTTTGGTGATCATTACATTATTATAAATCCGGTTAGTAGGAGATGGTGAACGGTCGCTTCCTATGTCCTTTCGTGGGTTTGTATTGTTATTTGTACTCGCTCCGTGGTATTTTTTAGAGTTCCGTACTACAACAGTATAAAGGAACCTTTACGGCGCAACTTTGTCTGCCTGTTACAGTGCTTTATCACAGCAACAAATGTTATCATAACTACAAATAAACAACAAAAGATCGAGATTGACTTTCTTGAGTTTGATCTTTTAATTTTCTCATGAATCGATTTTAGATCTTCCGTTTCAAATCGATTTAAATGAGCAACATTTTTGTTCTGTCGATTTTTTTAACCAAAAAATGAGATTAGTGAAGCATAAGCTTCAGGTACGCTTATGTAACCTAAGTCTGAACGTTTGTGAGTATCTACATAGGTAATCTAAGTAGTCTACATAATGATTAACGTCAGGCATAAGCTATAAATCTTAAACATTAAATGAGATACGGTCGATCTAGTTAGAAATTTAATCGACATTGCTATCGGTGGTCGAAGCATATCTGTTATTAGTGAGCAGTGAGTAATGAGTGCATAACGGTTCGTGTACAAATATTGCCTTAATGCGTATAGACCGGTATTATCTTTAATACCTATTTGCGAAGACATCTTATATTTTTATTAGTCACTGAGCTTAGGAGTTAAGCGGTAATCTGATTCTAAGTAGTTACCGTAACTTACTTCATATAACACAATAGAGAAATATGGATTATTTTTCGCTGTCTTGAAGAAACTTTTTCACTTTTTTATTGAAGAAACTCGAGTCTTCTCGAAACTCTACTCGAAGTAGTCATAAATTTTTTCAAATCTGCGCTGTGTGTGATCCTGTTTCTCATTTATTTGTTAATGGGGAGTAGTGATAGATATTCTTTATTGTTTCCTCTAAAAGATTACAATAATAAACTTATTATAAATACAAACAGTTATAAGAAATAATCACAGTGATAGATATGTCGATTGGGTCTATTTTGGTAATTGAATATTTTGGTACTTACTTAAAAAAAGAATTGGATCCTAATTCGAGTCTGAGGACTCGGACAAATACTCAAATAGTCGTATAATATAATGTATTCGAGTACTTTTTCAAATTAGATTAGATTTTCTATTAATTTTTGAACCTTATATATGTAACTACTTATACAAGCATTCGTATTTGCATTAGATATTGAAGTACTTTATTAGACTCGAGTATTTTCAATTGACTTCAAAAAGAAGGAGGTTTTCATATGGTTGTATCTTTTTATGTTTGTTACCACATATCTAACTTCGTCAGTTTTACACCAACTTGGATTTTTTTATCTGATAGGATGTACATAGATTGGTTCCCAAGAAAATTTATTAAAATTGGTTCAGTAGTTTAGTTTTTAAATCAAAATAACTGGTTTTCTCATAATTGTAGTAGGTATTTTATGGGGCACAATATTTAATTATTGAAAGAGAGAGAGAGAGATAGAAGTTAAAAAGTAACAGTTTATCTTGGTTGGACATGTGATATAGAGGGATGAAGATAATGTAACAATGTTTAACAGCAGAGGAAAATCTAAAAACATATTGCGTAAGAAATGATATGACTGAAAAGGGAGTGAATGCTGAAATGACTGTAAATCGAGATGAATAGAACATAAAGAAGTTGCAAGAAGAGCAACAGCGTTGTTGTTTATTTAAAATTACAAATATAGACAAATTTATCAAAATCTTCAAAATATATATTAAAAATGTAATGACGCAATGATTTCTTATTATGTATTTCGAGCTCATTTTGTGTCGACTTATATAAGTAACAATATTTTCACAAGTGAAACTTATAATGAATAAATGAAGTCCACGACTTGCTATGAAAACCAATTAAGTAACTAATTAGACTCGCTAATCCTAGTACATTGTTACAATTGAAATGGTTTAAAGCGAAAGTATGAATCCTTGTCTACTTCTCTAAATTCCCTCCTGGTTTACAGTGTGAAAGTGACTGGACTACAGTGTCTCTAGTGTTAGTTTGATTTATGTTACTGCTACGTTAGCGTTTACGTTGACAATTTTATTGAAAACTTTTGTTCAGTTACTAGTATCAGTGGCCCCATTGCTAGTAATATACCTTGTTAGGTCGACCTCCTTGTGGTTTCCCCTGGAAATCATCGTGATTTATTTATTGTTAGAAACTACCTAGACCTGTTTCATTCTCACTTATCATCTCTCACTGGTGCCCCGCCAGTGTATACCGATAGCGCAGGCGGGGTTACTATTCCATTGTCATCCATTTAAAAAAAAAAACTACTAGTATCAAAACCAAAACTTCTATACAATTTTAATGATATATAAATCTTTGTACGACTCACACTAGCTATTCAGAACATAATCGGTCCTAATTTGACTTAATATTATTATTTTATCTGGCTTATATTTCGGCCAATATATTTCTAGGTATCCTACCAGTGGACTGTGAATTAAGAGAGATTTTTTTAGCTGTTAAAAAGACACCCACTTTTATTATTTTATTCTAGCGTTAATTGTGATAACTATATTATCTTCATAACAGCTTTAAGATTAATTAATTTCCTAGACTTCCAGCATGAAGGTCCCATTTATGAAATGAGCTGTATCGATGTTATAAATATGAAAGTTACAACAATACAGCAAATTTTTTTGAAAGTTGTAGGTAATCACATAATTTCAGATCGCCAATCTAGACGTTTTTAAAAAGGATAAGAAAAACATAGAATTTGGGCAAGACAAAGTTAGAGGATCAGCTAATAGGTAATTTCTAAAATAAGTGGGCATCTAACCAAAAACAAAAAATGTCCAAGCCCAACTAACCTAATCTAAACAATGCAATGGGTTTAGAATGATCAATACTGATTTAGTATTACAACTCTGCATTTTTACTAATCTGATCCGATAATATATGAATTATACTTAATGATTATTTTATTATAGAAAGACCAAGATGCTGAAGTTGAACAAATTTTTAAAAATGAATAAATGTGTTTTTAAATAAGAAATGGAGGATATGTCAAACACATACACCTATATATGTGTTCTAAATAATTCATTTCAAATTAAGTCTCGTAAATTAAGCAACGTAAACCATGAATGTACCATTATTTATTTTTATTTAAATGCAAACATTCACTTAAAATTTAAATATATTTCTAAACAAATATAGATACAAATCGTAGAATATTAAAGAATAGTGAGATTGACGTATGCCTATGTAAACTAATTTGTAATTTATGACTCAACGTTCTGAAGAATAGACATGCACCACTCACACATTCATTAGAAATGGTATTTGGCGCCTAAATTAAGTACAAAATTCAAAAGTGAAAGTCTTTACTCCTATAGTTTAACTTTAGTTCTTATCTTAAATATTTTTAAATACCTAACAATTACTATCTACTACCTGATAATAATTATGATAATTATTAAAGATTTTCCGTACAGGTGAAAGTTTAAGTTGTGTAGGTAATGTATGCACGTATTGCATGAGTATCTAAGTAATTGAAAATAAATTAAAAAAATAGAAATATTTTCTTTTCGTATTGTTTATCAATACTATTGGAAGATATTGAAATTAAAATGTGAAATGAAGTAGATAACTTGCATTATAGTGCGATGCGTATATGCAGCAAGATCAACTTGAAGCAGTTGACCACCGTCCGGCGTGTTCACAGCACGCATCCGACGCGACACACTTCCGAACGAACATTACCGCATGTCACTGGCATGTGAGAACAAACCAATTAAATTTTAAAATTACCAATTAGACGTCTAAAATTTGTCTATGGCTTCTAAGCGCGTAATTCAAATTTGGAAAGGAAGAATTTAAAGTGATGTGTTCTTTAGTTGAGTGATTTTATTGTTCGTGTCCTTTCGAATTGCTTTATTAAAAATTGTTTTAAAACGAGTTTCGGTTTATTGTTCATTAACTGCTGATTTACAAATATATTAATTTTCGGATTTCCAACAACGTGGCCTAATTTCGGATGTTATTATGGTAAGTGTTAAATTTAATGGCTTTATTTTGATGTTGTTATGAAAAATAACTCAATCGCTTATATTTTGAACAACAGATATCTTTTCTACATTTTAAGTTTTTTTTTTTTTTTTTATAAAACAAAACCTTTCCAAAACAATATATTCACTAGTAGTACGATATCTAAGAGACGATCTTCCAGTACATTCTCTATTAAAACTATTAACAGGTTGAATAATTCGATACTTCTCGAGTATCTTTCCGAAATTCAATTTTAATTGAGTCGAAAGGGTAAATATTTCATAATTTTGAATTCAAAGGTTATATTTAACTTTTATATTTAACTTTGACTAAATAGATAATCGAGTAAGTACATATACCCTTTGTTTTTTTTAACCACATTTGTTATTGCCTAGCCTGAAGAAACCTTATTTTCCTCTTTTTAAAATTCCCGTGACGTAATTACTGGAAAAAAAATTGTGGGAAGCTATATTCCATATTTGAATATACGCGTGATGTACTCGTAAGTGTGAAATAGCACAGACAGTATGTAGGTATTTCGGTCCTAGGGTAAGTATAAGGATATTTTTTTGTGGTTGCGATTGGTGAAACTCGCATTTTATATTTATTATTTATATTTATACTAGCTCCGTATCTGTATTTTCAGTGTACATTTATCCAATTCATTTTTAAAAAATCGATAAACAATGTTTAACCGCTAATATTACATAGTAGATTTTGTACCTGTGAAGTTGGTCTGGAAGGCTCAAAATATTTTGTCATTTTCGAATCAAGTTTTTGGATCAGTAGAGCAATCCCTTAAATGGATGCTAATAATTTCGATTTCACTCTGTATTGTAGAGATACGGTAATAAATTTAAAATGAGTAAAGATAGAATTGCGGCCGTATCTTTGCGTGTTATTACGATGATGAGAGATGTAATCTAGTTACTGGTGTGACTGTGGATGTACAGTTATGAGCTTTTTGCTTCGAGCACGCGCACACCGGTACAGCTCATACGATCGTTTCTCTATAACTGATTATAATGTCATGGCCTTAGATTATATAGAGAGAGCATCGAGTTTCAAAAACATGTCAACGGTCAGCTTAATTGACATTTTGCTGACAAAATTAGTCACATTTTTTTAAATCAACACAAATTTTGCCATTTTGTAATTAAATTAAAAAAAATTCAGATAAAATCGATTTTTTAAATTTTTATTCTGCCAGTAGTTGCCACGCTTAACAGGCGAGTTGGCTTTTAGAGATGTTTTAAGAGGGACGCTGCTACCCATACCTCGTCCTCCCTTAGTTGCCTCTTATGATACCCACGGGAAAGGAAGGGGTGGCTCATTCTATGCCGGGGCACACACTATTTCCTATGATATTATATATATAAATAACTACTCGTATTGGTTACAAATAGATATATATGTATTCTTAAAATGGCGGCCATTTTCAATGATTTTAAAACGAAAACATATTATAAGTGTATATTCTTGGATATAAATCTAAGTAATCAGTAAACATAAGCTAAATTCGATATGAACTGATTCGATATGAACATTACAAATGCATTGTTTATCTTGTTCTTTCAAATATATGCATAAGAATTTTGTATCGTTTTCTTCCATACATATAATTTCTCCCATGTACTGAGTAGTAAATGTACATTAAAATAAACTTATTCTCGTACACATGGATAAAAAAGTTGACTTGTTTTTGATGAAGCATTAGTATGGAGATACTCTATCTGTATAATCGAAGGTCGTGGTCGCATACAACTACTGTTATTATATGCTAATACTTTTCATAAATGAAAATATATAGACGGTATAATAATTCTGTTATTTTCATCACAACTACTTAATATTAGTAGTATGCGTTGGCGTAGTTAAAATTTTTTTGTAGAGGGCGTAGGCTCATTAACAAATTCGCATATGTACTCACAGACATGTTTTTATGCATAGCTGAAAACTCTGCTTCAATCCTAGTGTGGGCATAATTAGAAGTGGACACAGCCCACCCTCTTCTTTATACGCCTTTATACGCCTATGGTAGTTACGTAAAATTTACTTATAAATGCATGATTTGACATTCTAAACCCATTTTAATCTAATGTATCTATGAAACATGTCAGCATTCAACGATGCGTGTGTATGTTCATGATTGAGGTTACTTTTTTCGGAGCAAAATGTGGCTGTTAATTCACTGGATGGGAGGTATGTTCTTTAATTTTATCTACTTAACATGTTTCGAAATCATACAATTAGAAATTTTAAAATGATATAATAGGTAATTATATAGGCAGGCTGTGATGAATCAAAATCTAATATATGACCCCTTTTTATATAAAACGTATAAAACCGTGATATAAACCACAAACTAGTTATGGTATTATAATCCGCAGGTCAAAAATATGTAATTTTATATAGATACAGCTCTACCGGTTTTTATTATATATAACAACAGTTGTAACAATTTGTTTAATTGTTATAATGTAAAATTATGTTCCTAGTTTAGGAATATTTTTTTGTCCAAGGTTGTAATGAATAACAATTAGTTAAATTATATTAGGTATAACAAAAAGTTTTTGAAAGCAGCAACACACATTTTCTTGATAATTTTATAGACATTTTACCTGTTTCTGGATTTCACTTTGTTTTTTATCGATTTTTTTTCAAATAGCTAGATCAAAGAAGACAAAAAAAGCTTATTTGTTTCATTATTATTTATGACATATTATTATAAATAAACAAATGAGAAAGTGAGTTTGTTATTTTTTGGTATCTTAACAACTAAACCAATCGTCAGGAAATTTGGTATACTCGTGTTAGTATAAAATATCTCGTTCATACGGACACAGGTGGTACAGATATACATAGCTATAAATATTTCATTATTCAAATAATGAGAGAACATATTCATAATTCTTATATTAATGTAGAATGTAAAATCAATATAGAATATAATATTATAAATGCGAAAGTTTGTATAAATATTTGCTATGTGATGTGATGCAAATATTTTTACACATAGTTTTTGATAGAATTCATACGGACAAAGTTGCGAGTTACAGCTAATAGATGATAAAGATTTGTGAACAATATGTTGCTTCGTTTAAAAAAAATTACTAGATTAATGAAACTTGTCTATTGCAAAATAAATTACGTAGATATCGTATAATATCGATACTAATATTATAAAAAGATTTTTTAGTGTGTTCGATTATAAAAAACAAACTCAGATATATCTGAACCATTTTAAAAATTATTTTACCCATAGGAAGCTCTATTATCAACAAGTAACACAGGCTTATATAGCCTGTGTTACTTGTTTTATTTTCGAAAATTATGTTTACTGGCGCGAAGACGAGCCGGATTTCTAATATACAATAAAGACCGTCGAATAGGAAGGCTTTTGAAATCCTACGAGAAGGTACAAAGCTGTATGTATATAAAGTTTCTTGTGTTCTAAAGGTGTAACCTACCGGTGTACCAGTGCCGCATTTAGCCGCAGGGTCCCTTTTTTACGTATAAAATAGATTATTATATTTCAAAATTTAATCTCAGAATTACAAATTTATTTTCTATTATTTAAAATGTTTAAATAATTTTACCGGGTATACAGTATTTAAAAATTGCCGTATATAATTATCCTTTATTTTGGTTTTAATAATACTTCTAAACCAATCCCTAGTCATGGCGACAGTATTACTAGTAATCAAATTTCAGCACACATTAGTAGAAAATTAAGTTCCCAATTTTATATTTAGGTACCTAATTTCCCCATTCTGCTCATTTGTGGCAAGAGACCATTTGTGGTGGGGATCTTTTTTGTAGTGGCGCATAGGCTATAACCTATGAAGCCTATGTTTAAACGCGGTGCTACGGTGTACTAAATATCATTCAAATCTTTTCAGTACTTTTTACGTGAAAGAGTACCAAACATCCATATATGTATAGATACATATAGCGTCACAAACTTTCGCATTTATAATAGTAGTAGGATATTCATTATATATTTTACTGCATACGTTATTTATATTTTTCCTTATACTTGACATTGATTGCCAAAAGTGATTAAGACGTTAATAAAACGTTGACACGACAACCGTGAGGTCGGCAAAATGATGCTTTCAATGTATACGACCATAGATAATATAATATTATTAATATGACTAACAACATACGTCTATTCGTCAAAAAGCCGTAAAAAGGACACCTAATAACCAATAAATTTTACGACCGTATAATTTATGTTTCTGTCATTGAAACGTCTTAATATTTGCGAAAAGTTTCTAAATTAGTTCATTTAATTATAATGAATTCATCTAATTAATAAGAGATTTATTTGAGGAAAATAAATTAATTTATGTATGAATGTTGATGACTAGCTCATCTCTGTCACGTCGCGCGGCAAATCTCGGCGAAATGTGTGTAATTCCGAAAGTTAACCATTCACCGTACGTAAGGAGAAAATTGTTCACTACATTTTTACGTAGGAAATTAAAACAGATCCGTTTTGTTCAGTTATACCCGCTTATTTACATGGGGTATATTTTGCATAGAATTCCATAGGTGAACTCTGACCGACTGTTTCCTATGGACAAACTCGATTTCTATTTTAGTGAAGTTACACAGTTCTACAGAGATAATAATTTCCTTCTACTTTTTTGCTACTAGGATGCTAGAAACTTTTACTTCTAAAACTTTCAGATTTCATTTAGGATATCCACAAGTTTTTTAATTATTTTGAGAGATGTACTTGAAGATGTTCATGTATCCACTCAAAATAGTTTAAAAGTAATATTTGATAAGTACTTAAAGCAAATTTTTAGAAAATTTTATTTTTGATATCAGTAGGCATCAATATAGATGCAAGGGGGGAAGGGATTGTTAGTAATAGAAACTAGAGGTCCCATTATTACTTTTCTTTCTAGAAAACACCGTGATCAGGATAGATCAACTACTATGATTTCATTCATACCTACATATGTATCTTTGCTTACTGATTCCTC